TTTTGGTTTTTTACATTTAAGCCTTTCAAGAAGGTTCCTTATCTTCTTTGTATGTGTGTGTGTGTTTTGAGGCAGGAGGCAGATTGGATAACATATTCTAGGGCCCCATCTAACTTTTGTCAATAGGGCCTTGCTTTAATGATTACCATTATAGAGAGGGAGTTGGTTAACTTCTGAACATTGGATTCCTTACAGGTGAAATGAAGAGGCTTCTCTTTGAAGGCAGGGTTATTATAAGAATGTGAATAGAGTACTAACACGTAGTAAGGAAGCAATAATACTAACCTCCAACTCCAGTTTACGCATCTGAACCCTTTTTTTTTCGATCTGTGTGGTGACGTTTGATAAATGTGAAATGCACAGTTCAGTAAGAGTCACTCCACTAGCAATCTTTATATTCATTCCCAAACTCCTGAACACAGAGTCTCTTGTTAACCTATTGACTGTTCTTTACTGTGATTCAATTAATAAAAGAAAGAGCAGCTTAAGGACAAATTGTGACCTAAAAAGGGTTGTTTATGAAGACATATTAAAGAACATTCATCTTATCATGACATAGTACAATCAGCCAAAGTTAACTGGTGGAGAGCTTGTCAAAGCAAAACAAAACAAAACACCCAAAACAAACAAAAAGTCACAGAAGTCTAACGTTTTTGGAAAAGAATGTCATCAATCTGTTTCAAGATTTGAATGCATGTAATGTTGAAAGTCAGAGATCCATGCGGTTGTGGTTACTCTTCTCACCCTTAACAGTGAGGATCCCACAGATACCAATAAGAAAGAAAACTCCGGTAACCTGAAAACACCACTGCATCTCTGCCCGGGTCAGTGAGAACACTAAAGTGTGAGCTTTAGCAAATGTAACACTGTCACCAGCCTAACCAAAGCAGGTGTTAAAAGAACTGAACTATAGACTAGTTTGGTCTCCCTGGGGAAGTTCTCCCGTCTCTCCTTCAGCATAACGTGACTTGCTGTTAAACTCTGTACCATCTGATCTGCTAATCCATGACAAAACCCATTAAAGATCCTCAGACTCTGGGATTTTGGTGGATTTCCTCTGCAGAAATTCCAGTGAGAATGCTGTTGGAGAAACAGGTCTTGATTCTGGAATATGCTCTATTCTGTACTTTTCGATGTAGGGTGCAGCTACTTCCCAAACCTGAGATGCAAGGACAAAGCAAAGTCAAAGTGCTGACAGCATTGTTTTCACATGTCGTTAAACATCAACCTCATCTGAAGTCAAAACATTACCTACACCTGACCGAATCCATAGCGGCTGTTTGCTTGCTTTTATCGTTAAGCCATTTGACACGTAACCTGTGTCAATTAGTCTTTGGTTGCATTAACAGCTTTTAAAATACAAAGTCCAAAAGTTGTCAAAAGTTACCATGAAGGTTTTCAGCTGCTTACTCTTCTAAAGCAAAACAAGCCAGCAAACAAACAAAACCTAGAGAATTCAGTGCAGATGGAATTAAGGGAAGTTGCTCAAGGGTGCAACTGTGTGTTTTCTAAGGCAAGCCTTGAATGATAAGAGGCAGTGGACTTCTTTGCTCTGTTCTTTGGACCCTTGTGACTCAGAGTGTGGCCCTCAGACCAGCTTCAGCAGCAACATTGCAGCAGCATTGCCTGGGACAAGGCAGAATGTCAACCCCACCGAGACCTACTGAATCTGAATCTGCATTTTAACAAGGTCCCTCCAGAAAATCACATGCACTTTATAGTCTGAGAAGCACTGCTTCAGACCCTTGTTTAGTGCTTACCTCCACCCACCAGCCTATTCTCTTTCAAGCAAAACATCTCAAATTAAGGCCCAGTTTTTGGCTTATAGCTGCTTTTTTATCTGATTGCCACTGACAGAGGGGGAACATTTCCTATTCTCTTGTTTTACTTTAGAAAATGTATTCTTTCCAAAGCTAACCTCCTCAAAAAGATATCTGCACCCCTATGTTTATGGTGGCATTACAATAGCCAAGACACAGAAGCAACCTAAATGCCCATCAAGGGATGAATAGATAAGCTATCAGATACACACACAGTGGAATATTATTCAGCCATAAAAGAAGGAACTCTTGCCATTTGCAACAACAGGTGGACCTTGAGGGCATCATGTTAAGTGAAATAAATTGTACAGAGAAGGACAAATATTGTATGATCTCATGTATGTGGAATCTTAAAAAAAAAGCTCATAGGTGCAGAGAACAGATTGGTGGCAGAGGGTGGGTGGGGTGGGTGAAGAAATGGGTGAAGGTGGTCAGAAGGTACAAACTTCCACTTATAAAGTAAGTTCTGGGGGATGTAATGTACAGCTTGGTGACTATAGTTAACAAGACTGCATTGTATATTTGAAAGTTGCTAAGAGAATAGATCTTAAAAGTTCTTATCACAAGAAAAGAATTATGACTGTGTGGTAATGGATGTTAACTAGACTTGTGATCATTTTGCAATATATACAAATATCAAATCATTATGTTGTACACTTGAAACTGATGTAAGGATAAATGTCAATCACATTTCAATTTTTTAAAAAAGATGGACTCCTCATACAACTCTCTACTAGCAGTGGAGTTGGCAGCAAGCAAGGGACTTCCCCTCAGAGGGGACAGGGAACACTTAGAAAGACAGTGGTGAAGATCAAAGGAAAATTTAATTCCCCAAGAGCAGAGCAATGGTTCCAGGGGAAATCAGGCAATTCTAGGGAGCATAATGCCTACAAATTATTACAAACGGCTTAAAGAACTTTTAAAAAATATGTTTAAAAAATGAGTCAGCATGCTAGATATCTGTCCCTATTAGATGAGTTTGTAGTCAACATAGCCAGAGGAAAGAAGCAGTAAAGAGAACCCATATCTCACCAGGGTGATGGGGCAGGACGCACCTGTGCACTAGACAGACCCAGAGCCCTTTGAATAAAAACCTGGGAACACTGTTTTCTCTTCAGGTCTGTGCAGTCATTGGACCAGATGGTGGTGGTGGTGATAGCATCACAAAGAGAGAATGTACTTCTGAATAACAGAGAACATTCTT